CTCACTGTTAATACTATATTTATCTCATTCACTAATCAAATTTTCTCCAACTGTGAATCCTTCTGTTTCTCTTCTGACTCATCACACAGAAAGGTAGACATTCTAGAATATAATGGCAATAACAAAAGGCATTTCTTAATCTACCTGGATTTATAGTTTATTAAGTGAACATGACCTATGCAATATTAAATAAATTTACTGGATAATTGTGATCTACATTATATTTGTAAAAGTGTTTTCTATATTTTAAATGCCCCTTTAATTCTCCCTTTTGCCATTCTGATTTCAAATTATGGAGTAGTAAGCCCATTCTAACAGAAAAACAATATATCATTTAAGTAATAGAGAAGTCCACTTTTTTTTTTTTGGTACTGGGGATCAAACTCAGGACCTTGAGCTTGCAAGGCAAGCAGAAACACCACTGAGCTAAATCCCCAGCTCAAAGCCCACATTTTTTAACCTCTAGCCAAAAATAAATTTACATTTTGCTGGTGGCATGATGTTCAAATTTCTGCCAAATAAAAAATATATTAGAGGGTCAAAAGCTAATCGCAATCTATAAATCTGACCTTAATTTCTATTTAACACCGTATTTTCACTATTTCCTTCATTCAAATCTTTAAATTAGTTACAATAACCTTTAATAAAATGTTAAGAAAAAAGGAAAATACACTAAATAATGCAAAGTAGTTTAATTCTTGTAAGAGCCCCCTTTTGGGCCAGGGATTTAGCTCAGTGGTTCTGCCACCTGCCTCGCAAGCACAAGGACCGAGTTCGATTCCCGGTACCAAAAAAAAAAAAAGCCCCCTTCTCCCATATGCATACATACACCAAAAAACAATTTTTTTTAAATAATGCCCTCTAATTTATTTCTTGTAAGATTTTTAAATATTGCATTTTCTAGGGTAGCCATTTTCATTCATGCAAACTCAATAGCAAAAATTCATACGCACTTTGAGATGTACAACTGTCCAGAAAATATTCAACTATCCCTGCTCTCTTTGAATCAGGTACCTATTCTGGGGCTAGCTGGGCTACAGTCTTCATTGTACTTACCATATTTCAGTTTTTGTTTAAGAGCACCTTGAGGGCAATGTCTGCATTCATTTCTGTAACCCTGGACTAAAGCCTAATAGTTTAACTCTGACTCAAATTCAAATTACATGGACAGCTTATAAAAATATCAATGTCTGGGCTCCATCCCAAACCCATTATAAGGGTCTAGTAGAGAGGGCAAGGAAATAGAATCATAGAGGAACATTTCTGAAAGATCTGCACATGATATCAATGTGCTCCCAGAGTTAAGAACCACTGTGCCCTGAAACTTAGAATACTGTGTACAAGAATACTGTGTACATATGCATGGGAATGTAGGTATAAATTTATAAAGAAATACATGATTCTGCTCGACCCGTCGTTTATAGCTGCTCCTAGTCCAGGGACCCCTTTAGATAGAGTATTTTTGGGGGAAAGGAAGGACATGACACAGGGTCTTGCTATGAAGTTCAGGCTGGCCTTGAATTCACTTTGTAGCCCAAACTGGCTCTAACCTCAAAGTGACCCCCCCCACCTCAGCCTCCCAAGTGCTGGAATTAGAGGCCTGTGTGAACAGGCCTGGCTGGAAAATAATTCTTGCATTTGACTATAGTTTGATAAATTGGCTTGAAACTCAAGGCAATCCTCCCGCCTCAGCATCTGCAGTGCTAGGATTATAGGTGTGTTCACCACTCCAAACCCATAAACACACAGTATTTTTAATAAGTAATCAATTATAGGCTACATTACACTTGCTTTTAAACTGTTAACTCAATACACATAAGATTTTTCATGCCTTCTATTCTTTTCTAGATTATTGCCTTGCTCCTTGAGAATATATACTGCCTTACTCTTTTCTCTAATACTTAGCATGTAAGTGTACTAAAAACAAGACATGTAATCAACATCTGTCTCATCTGATAAAAATTATTGATAAGATTTTTGTCACATCAAATGACCCAGTTCAGGCTATTTACTAAAAAATAGAAAAGGTAAACATTCAAGCCAGAGATTTATCTCAGTGGCGCCACTGCCTGCCTCACAAGCAAAAGCAATCCCTGGTAAAAAAAAAAAAAAAAAAAAAAAAAATTCAAAACCAAAGTTTTCTAAAATTCTAATAAACGAGGACTAAAGTTTACCTTATTAAAGAGCATATGGACATTTGTACTTTTGTTTGGGTTTTTGTTTTGTTTTGTTTTGTTTGAGACAGCATCTCACTATGTAGTTGGGACTGACTTGGAACTCACTATGTAGCCCAGACTGGTCTCGTACTCACAGCGATCCTCCTGCCTCAGCCTCCCAAGTGTTGGGATTACAGGCGTGTGTGCCACCACGCCTGGCCGACATTTTTACTTTTATAGTCACAGAAACTATGCTCACCTTATATCCTAACCGCCAACAATCAACGTTAGTTTTTAACCTGTTTCCTTCTAAAACTATCTTCTACTCTATTTTAGTATCTTTTGCTATTGTAGCATACCTTTGAAACATCCTATAACAGTCTCTTAAAAAATGCGTCAAAAAGCCACAATAAATATGTCATACAGTTGTTTAATATATACTTCTTAAAGGAAACTGTTTATCAACAACTAAAAAGAGAAAAAATAGGTTGGGAATACTTTTTTTTTTTTTTGGTACTAGGGAGTGAACTCAGGACCTTGCACTTGAGAGGCAGACCGTGGAACCACTGAGCTAAATCCCCAGCCCAGGAATACTATCTTAAAGCAAAAATGTTATTCAACATTGTAAGTGTACTTTTTACTCTTGATTGATGATTTCCACCATTTTATAATATTTTTAAAACCTGAAAAGCTTAAAAAAATGTAAAAAAAAAAAAACTTTTTAAACAAGAGTCCTAAATTATATCACACAAGATACTCATCATTATTGTTGAAAACTAAGAGATAAGGCATACAATTCTAAAAACGCAACAAGTGAAAATTGTTCACCCTTACAATTTTTCAATGTATATTTTATCACTATTAAAACAAACTTAAAAACCTTTTTCAAAGAACTGAAAATATGGGGAGGCACTGAAAAAGTATGCCAATTAATCAGATACAGTACTGCGGTAATGTATATGTTTTGTTGTGTACTACACCTTAAAACACACAGAGCTAGTTACCACTAAAAGAAAGCACTTTTCAATTCCCTAGTCAATAAAAAAGGTTCAAATTCCAAAGGAAAAAATGGTACCTTGGGTTGTTTGTTTTTAAGGAAGATTAAATTTAGGAGTTGCCAACACCCAAACGAAAACATTCCAGAGTATTAGACTCAATTGTAGTGGGGAATCATCTACATTCTTAGCACTCAGTTCCCTCAATCAAAGCAGCAGTATTAACAAAGGATGTTTCTTAGGCTCTCACAAGAGACATCCTACTTATTTCCCCCAGAAAACATTACTCTTGGTTTTTGAAAAGTACTTGAAAAATAATTATACCACAAGCAGCCAGACAAAAAGTGAAGTTTAACATATGCCAAGATAGTTCCCAAAATAAGATCCTTGTCAGATGAACAAGGAGTAGAAGACTGAAAATGATAAATTCTTTTATTTAGACCATAAGTTACTTTTAAAACTAAAGTTTAGGAATGTAGCTTTTCCAAAGCCTTGTCTTCAATTTCCCCTTCATCTTCATATTTTCAAGTTAAGAAAAAAAAAAAAAACTGGGAATCTGATTACCACTCTTACAAATTCCTTTTAAAACAATTTAATGAATAACATATTTTATGGAAGTAGCAAATCAAAGAAGAGAGTACCGGTTGTTGATAAAAAAAATTTCTCAAAAACATTCATATTAAAATACACCCTACAGAGACATACTGATTTTTCAGGTATGGAAATCATTCATATTTAAAAGTTGAGAGCTGGGGATTTAGCTCAGTGGTTCCACAAGGTCCTGAGTTCGATCCCGGGAGGGAGGGAGACATAAAACTAACACATTTTTTAAAAGAAATAAAGTTGAGGTCTATTTGATATTGCCTCAATTTATTACCAAAGTCATTACTTAGCTTAATAAGAATGCTTTTCCCTAAGCCATAATTAAAGTTAGGAAATTCTTAATTGTTTAGTGAATAGAAAAGCTTGAGTAAATTAGAAGGCCACAAGTAAAAGGAAAAACGCAAAACCTAAAGAGCCAGTGAGAAAAAGACAAAGCCCCATCGGGGGTAAAGATAGTTGAACCACTTCCCACGTACAGCGAGCTACTATTAAAGTAACTCAGACTTGTTTGGAATTGTTTTGTTTAACATAAATGGAGGTGCAATTATACACTAAGTAAAAATTTTTACCAGTCATCTAATTGGATGCTGCTGCCTACAGAAACTTTTGCTCAAAAACACCAAAAACACACAGAAATACACCTACCACAAATGTTTTCCAGGTATTAAGCATAACAGAGCTAAACAAACAAACCTGTAAGCTGATACAGCATCCCTATTGTCCTATGTATGACTCAGAAAAATTACGTGTTGGGAAGCACTGTGTATAATACAGTGTATAAGTTCATCTGGGTATACACATCTTGGATTCGTCCCAAGATAAAGCTGTCTTGGGATACTGCTCCGGCCACATTTTCTTAACAGGTACTAAATAAAGTGGGAACAGGATGTAATCTGATAACTTGAGATAGAAAAGTGGGAAACTATGTCGTCATCATCCTGAATCAATTTTCCCAACTGATCAAGCATGAACAGATAAGTCTAGGAAGGCAAATCCTGGTGTCCTACGTTGTCTTTTAACTCCAATGTAATATCCAGGATCTAAGACCGCAGCCAGGAAGCACGTGTCCTACTCTGGGTTTAGGGAACTTCCCAGGGAGCATTTGCTCAAAGTAAAACTCCATCACCCTCTGCTGCCTAGCTCGGTGAAACAATCCGAGCCCGAGTCGCGCAGAAACTCTGCGCCCCGGAGACGGGGTAGCTTTCGGGTGCAAGCCCGCGAAGGCTGCAGCCCGCTCCCGGCTCACCTCCGCCGCGGGGATGTTGACCACGCCGGTGGAGCGCCGTTTCTCCCGAAGCTTTCTCTTCTCGATCTGCCCCTTGCCCTTCCTGGCGCTGGGGCCCGAGCTCCGGCCCTTCTCCGGGGCGCCCTCCGGCTCCTCCTCGTCACCCCCGGGCAGGGGGGCCCCCGAGGCGGAGGCGGCAGCGGTCTCGTC